CTGTCTTATAGGAGCAGATATGTCAAGGGGCACACCAGCGGTCAGAATTGGGTGAAGATAGGGAGCAAGGAAGAAATACTCTGGTCTATTTCTTCTGCCATTCTCAGATTTGCCCATGACTGTCATTGGCCAAGACCAGCTGGAAACCAGAGCAGTTTCTAGGGGTCAGCTCCCTAAGACAGAGAACAAGGCAGAGAAAGCAGAGAATAGATCTGCTAAGGCATCAAGAGAAAAACCAGCATATGCATATGCTCTTGTGCAATTATTTTTATGTTTGTCATCTTTCTGTATCATTAAAGATTCTTCGACATCGTGGTTTTAAATAGCTACATATGGGCACTGCTACAAATGATCTCAGTCACATACTGATGAACATTTTGGGTGTATAAAAAAGTTCTCCTTTTCCTATGATAAACAGTAAGATGAATATCCTTATAGTCCTATTTCTATGGATTAAAAAAACTAGTTCCTTCGAGCATAATGCAATAAGTAGATTAATTAATAATTAAGGACAAAGAACATTTTCCAGGGTATTGATATAACTTGCCATATTGCTTACTAGAAAAATAACTATCCTCTCTCTTTAGACAAAAATTTGTTTTGCTTCTTTGGTAAGATTAAATAATATACTTTATGGTGCACCTGGGTGGCTCAGTCAAGTGAGCAGCAGATTCTTGGTTTCTGGTCAGATCCTGATCTCAGGGTCCAGAGATCAAGCCCCATGGCAGGCTCTGCTCTCAGCAGGGAATCTGCTTGAAATTCTCTCTTTCCCTGTGCTCCCCCGCCACCACCACTCATGCTCTCTTTCTCTAAAAAAATAAAAAAATAAATACTTTATTGCAGTGTCTGGCTGGCTCTGTAGAGCATGTGATTCTTAATCTTGGGTTCATAAGTCTGAGCCCCATATTGGGTATAAAGATTACTTTAAAAAATCTTTTAAAAAATATGCTTTAATGGTGTTGTAATTTTTATTTTGGTGTTACTAATGAATTTAAAATATTTTTTACATGTTCATTAACTACTTGTATTTCTCCCTTTGTGAACTTTGCCCATTTTTTTCTATTGGTATTTGTCTTTCTCTTATTGATTTATGGGGGTATTTAATGGTAAAAATTCATTGTCATCTACACTGTAAATATTTTTCTTAGTTTAAAAAAAGTCTTGCATAGAACCTGTTTCTTTAACTAAAGAATATTAAAATGTTTACCTTTTAATTTTATTTTCATAGCTTAATTATGTCAAATAAAATTTTTAATCCATTTGAAACAGTGTTTGGTGGTTAAGTATGAGATAGGGATAAAACATTATATTCTTCTAACTGACTACCCGACTGTCCCAAAACCATTTATTGAAAGGACCATCTTTGTTTTCTTCATTTATTTGAAATAGAAAGACAGAGCCTGGAGCTTTGTCCTGAAGATTTTGTCCCTTTATTTCCCCTAAGCTAGACCTAATCTGGTTTTTGATGTATGTTTTTGACTTGCTGCAAATTTTTCTAAGTACTAAGTACTAAGATTTTAGAACTTGATTAAAAGTAAACTTGGCTTGCAGTGATAGATTTAACTGAAGAAGACAGTGTTATCATACAATTTCTAACATTTAATGTAAATCAGTGTTTACTTAATTTTATTGATTGATTGGTTGATTTACTTACCTATTTATATTTCTTTGGTAGTCTCCACACCCAGTGTGGAGCCCAATGCAGAGCTTGAACTTAAGACTCTGAGATTAAGAGTTGAGCTGAGATCAAGAATCAGATGTTTAACCTACTTAGCCACCCAGGCACCCATCCTTTATCTTCTAAAGTTAAAGATTAGAAGACATTCTATGCCTGCAATGTGGTAAAAATGTTGATACACTGAAATAGTCCATTTAAAAGACAGGCAAAAGGGGTAAGAGATTTTTCTGCTAGCATTTCTTTTATTTTCTCTTTTCTTTCTTTCTTTCTTTCTTTACTTTTTTTCTTTTTTTGGACACAGAGGGAGTGCATACACACATATGAGTGGGAGAGGGGCAGAGGGAAAGGGAAAGAGAGAATCTTAAGCAGGCAAGCAGGCTCCACACTCAGCATGGAGCCTGGGGTGGGGGTCTGGCCCCTCTGGCTGGGATTAATAACCCTACACCTTGGCCAGGGCCTGCACTGCCGCTCTGGGCAACTTTGCCAAGGCCACCTTTGATGCCATTTTCCAAGATCTACAGGTATCTCATCCTTGACCTCTGGAGTCTGTGTTCACCAAGTCTCCCTATCAGGAATTCACTGACCATCTTATAAAGACCCACGCCAGAGTCTCTGTGCAAAGGATCCTGGCTCCAGCTATGGCCACCACATAGTTTTACACAAGAAAAATAGAGTGAAGGGGCGCCTGGGTAGCTAGTGGATTAAAGCCTCTCCCTTCGGCTCAGGTCATGATCCCAGAGTCCTGGGATCGATGAGCCCCGCATCAGGCTCTCTGCTCCGCAGGGAGCCTGCTTCCTCCTCTCTCTCTGCCTGCCTCTCTGCCTACTTATGATGTCTGTCAAAAAAATAAATAAAATCTTTAAAAAAAAGAAAAATAGAGTGAATTAAAGTCTAATTAAAAACATACATAAAAAAATAAGAGGGGCACTGGTTTCTGCAGTGGTCATACCAGTTCCAGGTGCTCTTCAGCCTTGCTAGTAACACTTGTCTTCTTGGGTCTTTTTTATTGTAGCTGCTCTAGGGTGTTTCTTGTATCTCATCACAGCTTTCACTTGCATATCTCTGATGTGGTATCCAGTTTCCATGGTGACACCCAGTGACATCTCCTGGTATTTAAGCATTGATTAGTTCAATCCCATCAAAAGTAGGATGACCTGTGTCGCAGATGGGCTATTGCAGGAATGACAACTGAATGACTTCTGAGGCTCTGTCATCATAAACTGTAATAGTTTCTGTTTTATTTTCCCTGAGACCACTCACTCTGGGGAAAACCAGGGGCTGTATCATCAGGACACTCAAGCAACCCTATGGAGAAGTCTGTGTCGCAAGAACTGAGGCTGTGTGCAATGATGCTAATTTGCCAGTCATGGGAGCGAGCCATTTTGTGAGCGGATCTTCCAGTCCCAGTCAAGTCTTCAGATACAGCCCTCACTGATAACCCAACGGCAGACTCATGAGAGACACTCTGAGACTGAGCCATTCCTGGATTCCTTTACTACAGAAACTGTGTGAGGTAATACAAGTTTATTGTTGTTCTAAGTTTTGGGGTAGTTTGTTACCCAACAACAGGTGACCAGTACAGATTTTGAGCCTTGAAAATGAGGTGCTACTGTAACAAACATTTAAGCCATAGGAGTGACTCTGTCACCAGACAGTAGAGAAATGGGATGTTAAGGAAAGCATTAGTGCAAGCCTACTGACAGGACCTTGATGGCCTTTGTGGAACCTGCCGGCAAGGGCTTATGGGTGAATATGGTTGACATAATTCTAAGATGGCACTGAAGATTCCTGCCCTGTAATTCATATGTTTTGTACAATTACTTCCCTTGAGTGTGAGCAGAACTTGTTAGCATGATGAAACATAACTTCTATGATCATGTTGCATTATATGGCAATAAACGATTTTGCAGATGTAATTACAGTCCCTAATCATTGAGTTAATCAAAAGGGAGATAATCCTGGGGGCCCTGACTTAGCCATATAAGCCCTTGAAAGAGACAAACAACATTGTAAGAAGTTCTCCTGCTGGCCTGGGGGAAGTGAACCAATATATTTTGAGATGGCCTATTGATTGTGACATGTAGTGAACAGGAGAGGACCAATGTTCTGCAGGCAGCATCAGGAAAGGTGTTGTTGGTAGAGGGAACAACATGGGTAAAATGTGGAGGCTTGAAATTGTATAGTCTGTCTGTGAGTAGCCTAGCCAGTGGGAAGTGTGACAGAAGACACCATCTGGGAAGTGTGTATCATGTTAAGGAGCTGGAGTATCTCCTTTGTGCAGCGAGAGAGTAATTTAAAGCAGGAATGTGACATTACCATTAACTTTAGACAGTGCTTCCTGTGAACCAGGAACGAAGTTGAGAACGTGTATGCACTACCCCCATGGAATCTGTAATAGTACCAAATGAAGAAGTTACTATCATTATCCCCACTTCACAAGGGAGGAAACTCAATCCTGGAGAAGTTATACCCAAACCTAGCAGGTGAAGCTCAGAACCCGAAACCCTTAAAGGTATGCTTGCTGATCATTTCTAGATCACACACATCTAGATAAGAATAAAGGAAACACAGGACTTTATTTAATAAATATAAAGGCAGGTCCACTCCAGACTTCTACTAAGTACTTAATAAAGAGGGTTTCTAGATACGCACACTAGTACCGCAGTGAACAAGATAAGCATATAAATAATTTTAAAAGTAAATAATATTAAGCACAATTTAACTGCCAGTAAGAATAGAGGATGCTAATTTTTAGGAGTAAAGAAACTTTTAAAGTCTTTTACTATATCTTTATCTGATAATTAAAAAAAAATTTTTTTTTACGTATTTATTTATTTCACAGAGAAAGCCCAAGCAGGGGGAGCTGCAGAAGAGAGGGAGAAGCAGGCTCCCCGCTGAGCAGGGAGCCCCGGGACCCCCGATCATGACCTGTGTAGAAGGCAGAGGCTTAACCTGCTGATCCAGCCAGGAGCCCCTATTTAATAATCTTCTGATGTTGAGTTTGTTTTGTAAAGATTCAGACAAAACCCGTACACATAAAACCAAGAGGGAAACTCTAAACCACAAGCCTGGAGTCCAGAACTTCGTCCTGCCCCTCCGGCCCCGCCCTTCACTAAGCCCCGCCTCTTTGGGGCTTGACTCTTTAGCCTCAGCCAGCCTTCAGCCGGGGTCCTCTTTCCAGGATCCCGCCCCGGCTCGTTTGCTCGCGAGAATTCTTCGTCTCGTCGAATCGCAAAGCAGCTGCAGGAATGGGTGTCAGAGAAGACTCGCGAGACTTGGCTGGACCTCACCCTCCGCGACTCCTCCCCTCTCTCCCAGCGCTCTTTAGGGTCCAGCGTCCCCGGTTGCACGTGTAGTTGTTGTGGTTCAACCTCACGTGGCCGCGGCTGTGCCCGCGCTCTACGTCCGCCTTCAAGATGGCGGCGCTCACTGAATGGGGCTGCGACCTGCTGAACCTCGACTGATAGCCTGGACTGATAGCCGTGGAGGTGTCTGCGGGGCCATGGACCGGCCGGGGTTCACTGCTTCGCTGGTGGTGAGTGCTGGGCGGCAGGGTGGGCGCTGGGGTGCCAGAGTCTCGCAATGGAGCGCGTTGTGGCTTCTGTGCCCTACCGCTCTCTTCCGGTTTTGCGCGTTGAACCGTCCTGGGGTCACTGGTCACTCGGCAGGTCTGGCAGGGATCGCGGGGTTTCTGGGCCACCGCCAGGCCTTGTGTCACGGTTGTGTCACTCCTACCCGGACGACAGAAGGAGACGCGGGGCAGGCTGCCGGACAGTCTTCCGCAGGATGGTTTACCTAAAGAAGAAAAGAAGAGCGTCAGTTACATACTGTAACCACACTCTGGAGAACTGGGGAAATATATGTCACAAAACAAAAAGCGCTTACATCGCACAGACTCCTTCTTGTCCAGGACTGTGGTTTTCATTTAGCTTTATCTGTTTTCACTCTGGGAAAATGACCTATCTGTTCATTCATATATAAGAAATCTGCTTATTTTCTTTCAAGCGTTTTTGTAGGCGTGGATATAGTGATAAGAACAAATAGTTATGGAGCCAGTAAGATAGTAGTGTTTAATTTTTTTTTTAAGAAAAAAACTACAAAAATCAACATGTTTTCCTATCAAAAACAAAATCTAGGAACAAAAATTTCTATAATATTTTGAAGCTTCTGCCATGGCAGGTCCAGTAGGGATAGTATAGAGCAGTGAATACGGATTCGTCATTGTGGAAAAGTAGGCAAAACCAGTTTATTTTATTTTATTTTTAATTTAATTTATTTATTTGACAGATCACAAGTAGGCAGAGAGGCAGAGAGAGAGGAGGAAGCAGGTTCCCCGCTGAGCAGAGAGCCCGATGCGGGGTTCGGGGTTCGATCCCAGGACTCTGGGATCATGACCTGAGCCGGAGGCAGGGGCTTAACCCACTGAGCCACCCAGGCGCCCCCCAAAACAGTATTTTTTTTTTTTTAAGACAGCTTAAAAAAAAAAAAAACAACGCTCCCATGGAATAATGGAGGTTCGGTGGAATTTCTTCATTTAATTATTGAAGGTTTGTTGTTGCAGGTGTTGGAGATAACATGGTGAACAAGCTAGAGGTGCTCACATGGGTCAGGGGGTGGAGCTAGAATAGTAAAGTGACTGTTATTATAAATGACATGAGGGCTAGTTTCAGGGTGTTACAGAAAGGTGTGCAGGAGGGTGCCTTAGCCACACTTGTGGGGTGATGGTTTTAAATTTAGGTTTGCTGAGACCTGTGTAAACTAGGTTTTAAAGATCCAAAGAAATATGTTACCACTTTGAGGTTTTCCTCTGTGGCTAGAGAGACAGTGGTAGTAGTTTTGACAGTTAACATTATCCTGCCAGGAACTGGGGTAAGCTCTTCACGTACATCCGTTCTGACAAACAATTAAGTACTATCCTGGTTTTCCAATTGAGGAACTGAGGTACAGAGAGGTTAGGTAACGCCTCCAAAGTCACACAGGTGACATCTGTTTCACGTTATCTACGTGTTTTAGCTCAGATTCGAATCCAGGTGGTATAATGTGGGATTCTATGCCCATACACACTTCTGGATACGTTTCTGAGGTCAGCTGCCGTAGCTGTTGCTAAAAACAGGTCTGTGCCAGAGTTAACAAATGAGCAGTAGTTTTAGAATTTATTAAAGTATGGTACAAATGCCCAAAAATATACTTTTTTTCTTATTATAGTTACACAAGTTAAAACTAGGATCAAAAGGAGAAGTTTGTTTTTTTTTTAAGATTTTATTTATTTATTTGACAGACAGAGATCACAAGTAGGCAGAGAGGCAGACAGAAAGAGAGAGGGGGAAGCAGGCTCCCTGCTGAGCAGAGAGCCTGATGCAGGGCTGGATCCCAAGACCCTGAGATCCTGACCTGAGCCAAAGGCAGAGGCTTAACCCACTGAGCCACCCAGGCACCCCAAGAAAACAGACTCTTAACTATAGAGAACAAACTGATTGATGCTTCCAGAGGGGAGGTGGGTAGGGGATGGGAGAAATAGAAAAGGGAGATTAAGAGTACAACATAATTGTTGAATCACTGTATTGTACCCCTGAAACTAATACAACACTATATGTTAACTATACTGGAATTAGAATTTTTTATTATTTTTTTATTTTATTTTATTTTTTTAAATTTTTTATAAACATATATTTTTTTCCCCAGGGGTACAGGTCTGTGAATCGCCAGGTTTACACACTTCACAGCGCTCACCATAGCAGATACCCTCACCAATGTCCATAACCCCAACCCTCCTCTCCCAACCCCCCTCCCCCCAGCAACCCTCAGTTTGTTTTGTGAGATTAAGAGTCACTTATGGTTTGTCTCCCTCCCAATCCCATCTTGCTTCATTTACTCTTCTCCTACCCCCTTAACCCCCCATGTTGCATCTCCTCTCCCTCATATCAGGGAGATCATATGATAGTTGTCTTTCTCTGATTGACTTATTTCGCTAAGCACGATACCTTCTAGTTCTATCCACGTCGTCGCAAATGGCAAGATTTCATTTCTTTTGATGGCTGCATAGTATTCCATTGTGTATATATACCACATCTTCTTTATCCATTCGTCTGTTGATGGACATCTAGGTTCTTTCCATAGTTTGGCTATTGTAGACATTGCTGCTATAAACATTCGGGTGCACGTGCCCCTTCGGATCACTACGTTTGTATCTTTAGGGTAAATACCCAGCAGTGCAATTGCTGGGTCATAGGGTAGCTCTATTTTCAACATTTTGAGGAACCTCCATGCTGTTTTCCAGAGTGGTTGCACCAGCTTGCATTCCCACCAACAGTGTAGGAGGGTTCCCCTTTCTCCGCATCCTTGCCAGCATCTGTCATTTCCTGACTTGTTCATTTTAGCTATTCTGACTGGTGTGAGGTGATATCTCATTGTGGTTTTGATTTGTATTTCCCTGATGCCGAGTGATATGGAGCACTTTTTCATGTGTCTGTTGGCCATCTGGCTGTCTTCTTTGCAGAAATGTCTGTTCATGTCTTCTGCCCATTTCTTGATTGGATTATTTGTTCTTTGGGTGTTGAGTTTGCTAAGTTCTTTATAGATTCTGGACACTAGCCCTTTATCTGATATGTCGTTTGCAAATAGCTTCTCCCATTCTGTCAGTTGTCTTTTGGTTTTGTTAACTGTTTCCTTTGCTGTGCAAAAGCTTTTGTTCTTGATAAAATCCCAATAGTTCATTTTTGCCCTTGCTTCCCTTGCTTTTGGCGATGTTCCTAGGAAGATGTTGCTGCGGCTGAGGTCGAAGAGGTGACTGCCTGTGTTCTCCTCAAGGATTTTGATGGATTAAAAGGAGAAGTTTTGATGAAGTTAGAGTTCATGCACGTTAAAGAATGATTTCCTTTATTATGTACACAGTTTATCTGCCATGTATTTTGCCCATCGAACACTCTGATAGCCCTTGGAGGTATGGTGGCGAACAAACCAAACTCATATACTATTTAAGAAATGAACCGAGGGGCGCTCAGTTGGCTCAGTTGCTTAAGTGTCTGACTTCGGCTCATGTCATGATCTCGGCGTACTGGGATAGACCCCCTGTCATGCTCTCTGCTCAGCGGGGAGTCTGCTTGTCCCTCTCCCTCTGCCCCTCCCCCCACTTGTGTTTTCTCTCTCTCTCTCTCAAAATCTTTTTAAAATTTATTAAAAAAAAGAAATGAACTGCAGTGGGATAGAGTTAGAATAATATTGGAGAACCTGCCTGAGATGGAGTGGCCACGAAAGCCCCTGGGGAGGTGACATTAAATTAAGACATAAGGATAAGAAATCGAGAGACATTTTGTTGAGCAGCATGAAGGAAAACCTCAGGTGGAAAGAATTGAGGATGTTAAAGTGGTGGTTGGGGCCTAGTGGGTAAGGGTAGTGTGGCAGGGGTATATTGGAGAGGTAGAGAAAGTGAGCTGAAGTGAGTCTTTGTGGGCCATGGAAAGGATTTTGGATTTTATTTGAAGCAAATGGAAGCCATTAGAAAGTTCTGTTAACAAAGTAGTTCAGCAGTGGAGTGGCGCTTTTTTTTTTACCTCCAGGTTTGGAGTGGCTTTGAGGCAGGCTGAATGCTCCCGGGAGGGTTTTGTTTTGCTTGCTTATTACTCTTTTACTAGTGCCTGGCATTATATGGTTACTCAGCTTTACTTATTGAATGAATGAATGAATGAAAGGTAGATCTAAATGACTGCTGGTTTTGAAATTCTGATTCCGAGTATTAAATGAGATAATGTCAAACATGCAGTACAGAGCCTGGAAGCACACTCCCTAAAACTTAAGGAGGTGGATGGAAGGGTTGTAGAGTAAAATATGGGAAGAGCCTCCGGGATGTTAGTGTTCATTTAGCATGAATAGACTTTCCAAAAAAGACCTCAGAGTACAGAGACTGGTGCATACTTTTAGGAAAGCAGTTCGAAACTAAGTATTAGTAACTTAAAGATGTTCATAATATTTAAGTCAGTGAAGATAATGTAAAGCCACTTAAACATGAAACACAGGAATGGTTAGGTGAACGTTAAAAGATACATTTCATCAACTCTTCAGGGGCCATAAACAACAGTGCTTGTGAAGAGAATGCACTATACCATGGAAAATACTTAAAAAAGAGAAAAAAAATCTAACACCGCCCATAGGTACATCTTCATGCTTAATTAAAACTATAAAAAGTCTATTCCGTTCACTAAAAAAGGACTATTGAAGTTTCCCGAGATAATACACAATAATGTTGATAGTAGCATTATTTTTTGCCTCCTAGTTTTTTTAAATATAAAGAAGTACTTTATATTTTTGAAAATAACCACACCCTGTATTACATCTCTTTTCCTTCCTACCTGACTCTTCTCTCCCCTTCAGTACTTAACTGTTTCATTGTCCTTGTAGTTCATGAATTCATCTGGCTTGTTACTTGGATGAAACCAAAAACATCCCGTGGTAGTTACTTTTAACCTGTCCTAGGTTGTAGGGGAAAAAATCTTGGCAAGTGTGGGTACCGTGCAGTGTAAAGTGTAGGCGGTCTTGCTG